CAACGACGCGGCGAGTGGGCGGGGCCGAGGCGGGGCCCCTGCTTGGTCGGCTCCGGAAGCCCGCGCCGGGGGCGCGGCAAGGGGTGCGAACGCAGAGTCGCAGCCCGGCGCGTATAGGGGCGGGTCTTAAGCGCCAGGGGCGTGGCCTCTGCGCGGCCTGCACCGAAAGCTCAAAAACAGGCTCTGCTGAGGGGCGGGGTCTTGAGCTCAAAGGGCGGGGCCGGGGCGGGGTCTGTGCGCGCCCAGGCCGGCGGGGATGACTCAGTGTCCCCGCCCCACGCTGCTGGCCCGAGGGCTGACCTGCGCTACCGTACCGGAGTGTTTTCTTTCATTAAAAAACAGCTCTAGCAACTTTTTCTGGTCTTTTTCCTTCCTCTCTGACAGTAGAGAATTTGGAAAAGCTAGGAAAGCACAAGTGAAAAAATGAAAAAGCTTTCAGAGTCTCGCCGCGCAAACCACGGCCGAGAGCGCAGCGTGGGAGTGGGGGTCTTGAATCTCTCTTTTTTTGTAAATATATAGATTTTTTACATAGTTGGGATAACACTGTACATACAGTTTTGGGTGCCTTAAAAATAACTGATTTCTTTCTGACTGCTAAGCCATCCATATTCATGGCAGAAAACTGGAAAATTGGAAAAAAGAAAATAAGTGTAATTCCAGCAGGTGAGATCACCAGTGATAACATCTTGGGATTGTTCCTTCCTTTTTAGACAGTTACATGTTTGCAACCAGCGTATATGTACTGTTAATAGTGTTTTGCAACTTTGTTTTCATTACTGATTATATTATAAACGCTCCAGTCGTTGAAAGTCTTCAGCAACGTTGTTTGTAATCGCCGCACACAGCCCCTATTTTATTTAAATCACATGCTATCATTGGACATTTGTGTCGTTTCCAAGTTGCATCTCTTCCTTGATTCCTTCCTTCTTTCGTGATCAACATCCTTGTAGCTAAACCTTTGTGCATGCCCATGAAAATTCCTACGATAAATCCATAGGTCTGGAATTGCTGAGTCAATATCATCGCTAATGCTTCTATGGAGTCCCAAATGGTTAAGCACGGGACTACTAATCAAAAGGCTGGCAGTGCAAACTCACCCAGAGGCACCTCGGAGGTGAGGCCTGGTGATCTGCTTCCGAAAGATCACAGCCTTGTAAACCCTATGGGGCAGTTCTACTCTGCACATATGGGGTCACCATGAGTTGGAACCGACTCCATGGCAACTAGCAACACAATAACCCAGCTACACGGTCTATACCCTTTTTAATGGATTTGATGTTTTCCAAATGGAAAAAGCAATAATGAGTGTTTTAACAAGTGAAACAACACAGGAAGGCTGTATATACAAAAACGATTCTGGATCAAGAGTGCCTGGGTGGGACGAGGCCTGTACGTGGTCTGGATGGCCCTTCTGGGGAGCTCTGCTCTGGGGAGATGGACCCCACCAGGCCTAGCACACTCGGCGTTTTCCGTAATTTCCCAGCTGGAAGAGAGAAGTCTGCTTTGGGGAAGCAGTGAGTCACTGTGGATCTTCATCTGAACTGTTCTTTTTTTTTATCTATTCTTTCTGAGCCATTAACACACACACATATTTGATGCTCTGTGTCCTGTTGCAAGCATAATGCATGTTCGTTGTAGAACATTTTGCAAACACAGAAAAGCCCCCAGAAGGGGGGTGGGGGAAAGAAGCCAAACTCGGAGAAACCATGGTTGACATTCAGGTGTATATTTGACCAGCCTTTCTCTTCTATACATCCCCGTGGCCATCGAGTTGATTCCAACTCATAGTGACCCTGTAGGACAGAGTAGAACTGCCCCATAGTGTTTCCAAGGCTGTAATCATGATGGAAGAAGTCTGCCACCTCTTTCTCCCACAGAGCGGCTGGTGAGTTCCAACTATAGACCTTTCGGTTAGCAGCTAAATGCTTAACCACTGTGCTACCAGGGCTCGTTTTTCTATACATAATACGTAATCAAAATCCTTGTGGTCGTACATCACGTTTTACAACTTGCATTTTCACTGCTATGCAATGAGTAATTCACCTCGTCCCGAAATACGTTTTATAGCACACTTTTTAAGGATTGCAGAATAATTCACTGTTCAGCTGTCCTGTACAGAACTTCTTAACTATTTGTTTATTGTTGGCCGCCTACGTGGTTTACAAACCTACTGCTATGAGACGCTTTGTCCACAAGTCTTCTAGAACCTCTCTAATAATTCCCTTAAGGTACACTCCTGGGAGAAGAACTGTAGCTTTACAGAGGACTTGCTTTCTAAAGGCTCTTGAATGTATTACTGAGTCCCTGGGTTTGCACTTGGCTACTCACCTAAAAGTTGGAGGTTGAAACCCACCCAGTCGTGCTGTGGAAGAAAGGCCTGGCAATCTGCTTCTGTAAAGAGTACAGCCAAGAAAACCCTATGGAACAGTTCTACTCTGTAACACATGGGGTTGCCATGAGCCGGAAATGACTCAGCGACAGCGGGCTTGCTTTGGTTTTGAATGTATTACCTGCCAGTCGGCTCCTTGGAAGGGCCATCCGACTGTTGTAGCTTTAACAGCACGTGAGTGCTTGCAGGTATGTTCTTACATGGCGGCGCCTTGGTGCTACCTGGAAGGAGACTGGTCACAGCAGGAACACCACACCTCAAGCAGGGATGGGCCCCAGCTCAGCTCAGGGGCTCTGGCCCCCTGTGGGCCCCTTTCTTGTCTCCTTTGCTGAGCGATCCTGTGGAGAGCTGGCCAGGAGGATCGGGGCTCTGACCTCTCTGAGCCAGGGGACGCTGCTCTCCTGGAGACCCCCGGAGGCCGCTGAGTACTTTCAGTTGCCTGTTAGCTGGCGCCGTGGGGGTTGTCTGGACCATTCCCAGGCGCAGCATGTGGAAGGCCCTCCAGCTTTCCCTGAAGGCCCACCTGGCTCTGGAGCTGGGTTGGAGGGTGCATCTACAACTGCAAGGCCAACAGTCTTGGACACATCTTTGCTATGAAGCAGGACTGGTTTGAAGTGGTCGCCACCAGCAACCTCCCCGCAGCCCCCCATCACCACGCAGCATCACAATGGTAGAGGGGTGCCTTGCAGGGCCCTGTGGGCACCACTGCTCCCTGCCGAGTCACCCTGGTACTCAGCCTGAAATCTGAAGCTGGCTTGGGACACTCACTCCACGCCTGTTCATCCTGGCCTCCAACAAGGATCCAGGGATGCTAGCGATACATAGCCCTGGCTGTCCTCCGAGCCCTTCCTCCCCTCATCTGGACAGTCCGCTCCCTGACTGCTGCCCTCTTCCTCCCATGCAGCTCAGAGTGGTTCCCCAAACAAACACAGCCCCTGCCCTCACCCTTCTTAAAACCCTCCAGAGCGCCACCAACCCAGGGATCCGTCCCCTGCTTCTCTCTCCAGTCCCCTCTCCCAGCATTTCCTATCCCCCACCCCCACCCCTCACTACAGCCACAGAGACCTGCTTCTCTTTCCCTGTGTGCTGTTCCCTCTGACCAGAATGCTCTTCCCACCCACATGGCCCACTGAGCTGACTCTGACTCCTGGCAACCCCACGTGTGTCAGCGTAGAACTGTGCTCCATATGGTTTTCATGGCTGTGACGTTTAGAAGCAGATTGCCAGGCCTTTCTTCCAAGGCACCTCTAGGTGGATCCGAACTGCCAACTTTTCTGTTAGTAGCCCAGTACTTAACTGTTTGCGCCTCCCAGGGACCCCTTCTCCCATTATTCCTACTCTTAATAACAACAACAGCTACATTACTGAGCACATACACAACCTTGTTTGCTGAAAGTGAAGAGGCCTTGAAGAGCTCACTGATTAAGGTCAAAGACCACAGCCTTCAGTATGGATTACACCTCAACATAGAGAAAACAAAAATCCTCACAACTGGACCACTAAGCAACATCATGACAAATGGAGAAAAGGTTGAAGTTGTCAAGGATTTCATTTTTTCTTGGATCCACTATCAACGCCCACGGAAGCAGCAATTAAGAATCAAATGAAGTATTGCATTGGGCAAATCTGCTGCAAAAGACCTCTTTAAAGAGGTAAAAAGCGA